ACGTTTTCTTTACCCCCCCCCAAAAAAACACGACTCATAAATAATAAGTTAATAAACAACCACCCCCAACAAAAAAAAATGGAACATTCAATTTATTTAACAAATAATAATCGATTCTTTTAACAAAATCGTCACAATCGAATCGTCACGAGGGATTAATCCGAACGCCCTCCTCTGTTTAACATCCTGTGAAAAACAATTCACTTGGAGGAGGATTATTCCACCACCCACCCACCCACCCCCTTCCCACAACATTACTCTTATTATTACGTCAATAATCATAAATTATTTTTATTTTTTTAAACCACACACACCACACAAAAAACACTTTTCCCGTAATTGTAATATTGTTCTTTTCGCCAATGCGCTCATTTGTTTAGGAAAGCCTTGCCTGTGGCGGGGTCTCTCCGGAGGGACTTGAGGGGGGGCTGGGGGGGCTGGGTGGGGGGCCTTGGTGGGGGGCCTGGTGGGGGGCCTGGTGGGGGGCCTGGTGGGAGGCCTGGGTGGTACACGATGGGTGGGGGAGGGGGTTGGCTCGGACCTAGCAACCCCTCGACCTCGCCACCACCCCACCCCTCCTCCACCCCACCCCAAGGCCCGGCCGCCTTTGTCTCCCGAGTGGTGATGGTTCGCATGAGTTTGACAGAACCGCCGTCCTCTTTAGACGGGGGGGAGGGCGTGGACCCTCAGAGTTCTGTGCACGCAGTGTGGGGCGACTCGATAGTTCGTGAGATGTTAACTACCTCGCCTGGTATGCAGGGGCCCGTGGGATCGATTCCGACCCATGACGACTGCTGTATGAGAGAATAGGTTTATCCCCTTTTTTACGGCAACAAAACAGGTGTTAAGATGTTAAAACAACAAACTGAAACCTTTTACAAGCAATCATGTCTGCATGAACCACAATACTTGTGGTCAGAATGCACACAGAAAACATACTCTGACAATATATGCATTGTCTGTGAAACTGCTGTATATTCGGAGTTTGCGTATCTTTCTCTCTCCCCGTGATGAAATGTTAACTACCTCGCCTGGTATGCAGGAGGTCGTGGGTTCACCTCTGACCCTGACACCTGCTGCTGTATATTTGGAGTCTGCGTGTCTCTCTTCTCTCCCTGTGGTGAGATGTTAACTACCTCGCGTGGTATACAGGAGGTCGTGGGTTCGATCCCAAACCCCTGACGACGCCTGCTGCTGCTGTATAATTGGAGTTTGCTGTGTCCCTCTCTCTCTCTCTCTCCCTGGTCGCGTGGATTTTTCTCCAGGGTCCTCCGGTTTGTTTTGCCCTCCACATTTAGAATCAACAACATCACGCGTTTAGAGTGCTGTGTTTGGCTGGTGTACATTTCCACACGGTAACGGTGATGACATTAAGCCCGCTTTGTTGAGCTATCATTGGTGACATCCAGTGCCGCGTCTGAAAAAGAGCCCCTGTATATGTAGCTCAGCGGGGCCTTACCTGGTTCAAATGAAAACTTAGTTTTTAGAGAGAGACACGCAAACTCCAAATGTACAGCAGCAGCAGCAGGCGTCGTCAGGGTCGGGATCGAACCCACGACCTCCTGTACATCAGGCGAGGTAGTTAACATCTCACCACGGAAAGAGAGAGACACGCAGACTCCAAATATACAGCAGCAGGCGTCGTCAGGGTCAGGACTGAACCCACGACCTCCTGTATACCAGGCGAGGTAGTTAACATCTCACCACGCGGAAAGAGAGAGAGAGACACGCAAACTCCAAATATACAGCAGCAGGCATCAGGGTCAAGATTGAACCCACGACCTCCTGTATACCAGGCGAGGTAGTTAACATCTCACCACGGGGAGAGAGAGAGACACACACAAACTCTATCTACGGGGCTTTACCGAAAGACCTATAGAATATGTATAGCAGTTGTCAGGGTTCGGAATCGAACCCACGGGTCCCCGCATACCAGGCGAGGTAGTTAACATCTCACTAACCACCGAGTCGCCCCACACTGCGTGCAAACCACTCTGAGATTCTATCAAACTCATGTGAACCATCACCACTGGGGAGACAAAGGCGGCCGGGCATTGGGGTGGGGTGGAGGAGGGGTGGGGTGGGGGTGGCGAGGCCGGGGGGGTTGCTGGGTCCGAGCCACGCCCACGCCCCCCCCACCTGCCCCCCCACCCATCGTGTACCAGAATCAGAACATTGACTTGAAGCTTTCGTGACTGCAGGAATTCATTTCCTTTTGGGGTCTTTCAGTAAAGTCACGAACGTTTTCTGTGTTGCGTGCATTTATTTTGTGTGTTATTTTCTTTGAACCTATCTACTTGACTTTACCGAAAGACCCAAAGAATACACGATCAGAACGTTTACTCATCCTGCATGAGGAATCCGATGCGCCACGAAGCTCTTCCACCACGCGTGTCCAGGCTCGACGGTGTGGGGGGGAGGAGGGAGGGGGGGGTCACCTGTGTGTGTGTTTTGTTGTTGTTGTTGTGTCCCTGGACGGCTCTGCCGGAATAAGCCCCCCCCCCCTCATAAATGACCGGATTTGAGTCGATTTCCTCCAGCGCACGATGGTGGGGTGGGTCAGCTCTGCCCGCTGCGGGAACAATGGAGCCTCCGCCCCTGTCGCCCCCCCTCCGCCCCCCCCCCCCCCCCAATTGCCATTCCCAGCATTCAACACAAGGGGGTTGGTGGATGACACGGGGACGGGAGAAACGTGTTCTCACGCTCTGCTCACCAATGTCTCCCTCCCTGTCTGTCTCGCTGTCTCGCTGTCTCCCACTCTCATCTCGCTCGCTCGCTCACTCCACATTGTTCCTTGCGACTCCACTCAACCTGCTCGACTCGCTCACTCTGCCAAGCGTCCATTTAGGGTGTCACGGTGGCTAGGCGATGTTAACCACCTCGCCTGGTATACAGGAGGCCGTGGGTTCAATCCTGACCCTGACGCCTGCTGCTGTATATTTGGAGTTTGCGTGTCTCTCTCCGTGGTGAGATGTTAACCACCTCGCCTGGTATACAGGAGGTCGTGGGTTCAATCTTGACCCTGACGCCTGCTGCTGTATAATTGGAGTCTGCGTGTCTCTCTCTCTCTCTCTCCCCGTTGTGGTCGCGTGGATCTTTTTCTCCAGGGTCCTCCGATCTTTCCCCCCACATTTAGAATCAACGTCACGCGTTTAGAGTATTCGGCTGCTGCTGCTGCACATTTCCAAGTGGTGAGCCACTTGCTTGAGCTATCATTTTTGATGGCCAGGTCGCATCTGAAAAGGAGCTGCTATTGCTTTCCTTGGTCAAATAAACATAAATAGTTTAGTCTTAGTTTTTATGGTGACAAAATCTGCAGGAATTTATGTACTTAAATTTTGACCTGAAACATTATAGACCGCCAGTACACTAATTCCGATTAAGAACCAGGCTACATTCTACATTAGTGTTTTTATGTGTTTTATTCACTTTATTTTATATTCACTTCATTTACTTATTTTTCTATCTACGTGACTTTACCGAAAGAACCAAAGAATTTGAATTGATGTACTTATCCGAGTAATCGAGGTTAATTTATTTATAGTGATTTGTTTACCTTTCCCATACGTTCCACTCCCTATATTGTTTTTTTTTAATTGATTGTTGATGTTGTAACTTTTTGACCCTGTGCCTCTAACTGGACAACTGTGATTCTAAAAAAGAGCCTTATATCTCATCGGATTTCTCCAGCATGAATAATATGTATTTTTATGATCTTTGCAGTTCGCAAGCATTTGGTTTAAGTCAGCTTGACTCTGCTGATGAAATGAACCACAATACCTGAAACCCATGGACTCACACACAGAGACCCATAGACTCACACATAGACCCATAGTCTCATCGCACAGAGACCCACGGACTCACACAGAGACCCATGGACTCACACAGAGACCCAAGGACTCACACAGAGACCCATGACTCACACAAAGACCCACGGACTCACACAGAAACCCACGGACTCACACAGAGACCCACGGACTCACACAGAGACCCACAGACTCATCTCACAGAGACCCATGGACTCACACAGAGACCCATGGACTCACACAGAGACCCACAGTCTCATCACACAGAGACCCATGGACTCACACAGAAACCCATGGACTCACACAGAGAGCCATAGACTCACACACTGCATTGCGCACTTTCAGATGCTGTTGCTTCTGCAGCCGTCTGGAACGCTCTCTTCCTTCCAATACGAGGAAGCCACTGGGAGCTGTGATGCACTTTTAATTCATCATCGTCTAGATTGACAAACTCATTTCTTTCGCACTGCTTTTGTGTTTAGTTTGTTGTCTTTCCCCCGCACCTCCGATTTAGTTACGGTTGGCTACGTACGGTGCGAAAGAAGTTCCAACATACGGTGCACATATATACAGCCGCAAACTCACCACCACCATCACCACTCACCCACCCACTCAACCACCCGCTTCCCACACTGCATGTCACAACCACACACACCCACCCAGTCACTCACCCAAAAGACAAAGATCCCCCGTGTAGCCTCTAACAGATTGTCGGGGCAAGTGCTGTTAGCGTTTAGCAGCAGTGCCTACGAAGGAGACAAAGACAAAGATCCCCCGTGTAGCCTCTAACAGACTGCCGGGGCAAGTGCTGTTAGCGAGTAGCAGTAGCAACTATGAAGGAGACAAAGACAAAGATCCCCCGTGTAGCCTCTAACAGACTGTTGGGGCAAGTGCTGTTAGCGAGTAGCAGCAGTGCCTATGAAGGAGACAAAGACAAAGATCCCCCGTGTAGCCTCTAACAGACTGCCGGGGCAAGTGCCGTTAGCGAGTAGCAGCAGCTGGCACTGTGGCACACGAGGGGGGTGGTTGGTGGACAGCACCACGCCCCAGCCACCCCCACAGCCCACGACTCACAACCTCCCGTTTCCACCCCCCGCCCCCCCCCCCCCCCAACGTCTTGTAACCCTCAGCGAGAGTGAGGGTGAGGGTTGGGTGGGTGGAGCGGGGCGGGGGGGTTGAGTTACATCCATCCAGGATCCATCTCTGGGCGTCGCTGCGACGTCTTTCGGCGTCAGGACATCGTCGAGGTTGGAGACCGTGGGCAGCGCTGCTGTAGCGGCAGCCTCTGGCACGTGAAGCACCTCCGACTTAGGCGCTGGTTTTTGGGCTACGTACGGCGCGAACGAGGTACAACGTTTCGCACGTACGGGCCACTCCAGCAGCCGTTACTTGAATTTCGGTCGGACCTCACAGCTGCGCGCTTGTAACAGAGCGCAGCCTCTGGTGACAGCTTTTGGAGAGACGCTACAGCAGCCCGTGGACACAGCCAGCAGCAACTACAGCGGGACCTACAGACGTGACTTTATTCAACCTCTGGCACAGCAAGCAGCGGCAGCAGCCGCTGACACAGCCACCAAAGCAGCGTCTGACACAGCGACCATAGCAGCCTCTGCTACAGCAACTACAGCAAGAACTATATGAGCTTCTGACACAGCAAGCGGCAAATGCAGCCTCTTCTGATAAAGCGACTATAGCAGCCTTTGACACAGCGCACGCCGATAGCAGCATCTGACACAGCGACCGTAGCAGCATTCTGATACAGCAACTACTACAGCAGGAACTTCAGCAGGAACTTTTCGTGCTTCTGACACAGCAAGCGGCAACTGCAGCCTCTTCTGGCACAGCAGCCATAGCAGCGTCTGACACAGCGACCATAGCAGTCTCTCCTACAGAAAGCGGCTATAGCAGCTTCTGCAGGAGCGACAACTACAGCAAGAACTTCAGCAGGAACCATAGCAGCGTCTGACACAGTCACCATAGCCTCCTCTGCCACAGCGAGCAGCTACACTGTCACGTGACAGCTACCTGTGATGGTGATGGTGGTGATGGCGGTGGTGTGCAGTTCGCTCCGTCGTTGCTTCTAGCGCTCCTTTACTTAACCCCTCGAGGTGAGTGCGGAGTCGTTGTGGAAATTCCACATTCCCATGGCGGGGGTGGCGGGGTTGGGCGGTTCAGACGTGTCCGTAAGACGATCACTGTTTTGTGGTGCCCACACAGGCGTTGGTGCCTCTTATCGACCCCCGCAGGGATGATGGGCTGAACCAACCACCCCCCCCCCCCATAGTATCATCATCATCATTGCCATCATCATCTTCATCATCACCACTACCAACACAATCGCCATCATCATCTCCATCATCTCCATCATCATCTCCATCATCATCTCCATCATCATCTCCATCATCATCTCCATCATCATGCGTTTAATTAAATTCAGTAAGATTCAAAAATGTTTAAAAAAATACTTTGGGAAAGAGACGGTGACGGGAGGAGGGAATTTATTCCAAAGTGGAGCGGTGCAAGAGAAGAGGCGGTGTGGTGAGCGGGTGGGTGAGCGAGTGGGTGAGTGGCTGGGTGGGTGAGCGAGTGGGTGAGTGGGTGGGTGGGTGAGGGAGTAGATGAGTGAGTGAGTGGATGGGTGAGTGGCTGAGGGAGTGGATAAGTGGGTGGGTGAGTGAGTGGGTGAGTGGCTGGGTGAGTGGGTGAGTGAGTGGATGGGTGGATGACTAAGTCAGTGATTGGTGAATGAGGTAGTGACTGGGTGGGTGAGCGAGTGGGTGAGTGAGTGGGTGGGTGAAGGAGTGGGTGAATAGGTGGGTGAGGGAGTGGATAAGTGGGTGGGTGGGTTAGTGGGTGAAGGAGTGGATAATTGGGTGGATGGGTGAGTGAATGGGTGAGTGGGTGGGTGATTGATGGCAGGTTTCTCTCCGAATCAGTCGGGCGGCATTATATTTTCATCGGTTGCGTAATACTCCTGTGTGGAAGCTACCTGGACTGTCGCTTCACAAAGATACTTCGGGTCTTCTCGGCCACAGGAATGCCCTCCCTTTCTCTACGCTTGCGAAACGTGCAGCCCTCGAAATTATCATTTGTGCCGATTTAAAACATTCAGGCTGGCCTGCCTACGATCCATCCTGGGTTTAACCAGCAGGCTGGATTGTGTGAGGATCTCACAAATCCTTGAAAGACCTGGACACAGTCACATCGGTGAGCTCCTCGGGCAGGCAAAGGCTGCGTTGGCTGGGACATGGGGCCCGCATGCCGAACCACCGCATGCCCAAACAGATTTTGTTTGATTTTTTACTTAAAACTTTCGTGACTGCAGGAATTAATATTCTTGGTTCTTTCGGTAAAGTCACGTAAATAGAAAACAAAAAATATATATAAAATAAAATGAAAATAATTATTTAAAAAGTAAAGATATATTTTTTTACTTTTTATAATTGTTATTTTACATCATTAGACCTCCTTTGCCAGTACCAAAATGTAATAATAGGGTTTTCCCCCCTTTTTTTCTGGCAACAAAACTGAAACCTTTTTTTTACGAGGATTCATGTCTGCATTAACCACAATACCTGCTGTCAAAATGCAAACAAAAACATACTATGATAATATATGCATTGTCCTTGAAACTAATTGGTCCAAACCAAGGGACGGCTTTGTAATTTTATTTTAGAATTTGTATTTTATTGTAATTTTTTGTTTTCTATTTACGTGACTTTACCGAAAGAACCAAGAAAATAGATTTCGTTTGGTTGGATAGAAGGGGGAGCTAAACGGGCGCGGCACGGGCTCGAGAGGAGGTGGAGCAGATGCGATACGGGAAGATGTGGAGCTGAGTGGACTTGTACCAGCGGTGACAAGAACGGCCTCGATGGGGAAGGCTCGTGAAGGACGCTACTGGTCAGTTGGAGGCAGTCGATAATCTGAACCTGTCCTGGGAATCGCCTAGGTCGACTCAGCCTCAAATGAGTACCTGGTGCGGTGTGTAAACATCGCCACTAGGGAGATAAAGGCGGTCGGTCGTGCTGTTGGCCACCCACCCCGTCGTGTGCCTTTACGGCCTTCATAGGTGCTCGCTAACAGCACTTGCCCCAACAGTCTGTTAAAGCTATACGGGGGATCTTTGTCTTTTGGGTGGGTGAGTGAGTATGTGGTTGTGACATGCAGTGTGGAGAGCGGGTTGTTCAGTAAGTGGGTTAGTCAGTGAGTCAGTGGGTGAGTGAGTGAGGAGGTGAATGAGTGAGTGGGTGAGTGAGTGGGTGGGTGAGTGAGTGAGTGGGTGAGTGGGTGAGTGAGTGGGTGGGTGAGTGAGTGGGTGAGTGGGTGAGTGAGTGGTTGTGTAAGTGGGTGCGTGAATAGGTGAGTGAGCGGGTGAGTGAGTCAGTGGGTGAGTGAGTAGGTGAATGAGTGAGTGGGTGAATGAGTGAGTGAGTGTGTGGGTGAGTGAGTGGGTGAGTGAGTGGTTGTGTAAGTGGGTGCGTGAATGGGTGAGTGAGCGGGTGAGTGAGTCAGTGGGTGAGTGAGTGAGTAGGTGAATGAGTGAGTGAGTGGGTGAATGAGTGAGTGAATGGGTGAGTGCGTGAGTGTGTGGGTGAGTGTGTGGGTGAGTGAGTGGGTGTGTAAGTGGATGCGTGAATGGGTGAGTGAGTGGGTGAGTGAGTCAGTGGGTGAGTGAGTGAGTAGGTGAATGAGTGAGTGGGTAAATGAGTGAGTGAGTGGGTGAGTGAGTGGTTGTGTAAGTTGGTGCGTGAATAGGTGAGTGAGCGGGTGAGTGAGTGGGTGGGTGAGTGGGTGGGTGAGTGGGTGGGTGAGTGAGTGGGTGGGTGAGTGAGTGTGTAGGTGAGTGGGTGAGTGAGTGTGTAAATGAGTGGGTGAGTGGGTGGGTGAGTGAGTGAGTGGGTGAGTGAGTGAGTGAGTAAGTGGGTACGTGAGTGGGTGAGTAAGCGGGTGAGTGGGTGGGTGAGTGAGTGTGTAGGTGAGTGAGTGTATATATGAGTGGGTGGGTGAGTGAGTGAGTGGGTGAGTGAATGGGGAGTGGGTGGGTGAGTGAATGGGTGAGTTAGTGAGTGAGTGGGTGAGTGAATGGATGAACGAGTGTGTGGTTGTGTCATGCAGTGTGGTGGTGGTGGTCGGTGGTGGCTGTGGACACAACACAGGTGAAGGAGGAATCACCGAGTTCACGGGAACAGCAAGCAAGGTAACAGTCGTAGCAGCGATGAATGAGTGACAGTGATATCGATCATGGTGATGCTGTTCATCTAATAAGAATTGTTATCCCCTCCCCCAGCCGTGTAACCGCCAAGGCTTTCGAGAGTCGGAGTTGCGCTAACTCACCTGCGTGGCCACATCAACCTCCTCTGCAAACCCTCTCGCCGTGCCCACAACCCGGCTCGACCCACAGGCCCGGGCGCTCAACGCGGACGAAAGAATGCCGAGGCAGAAGCGGTGAGTGAGTGACAAAGATCCCCCGTGTAGCCTCTAACAGACTGTCGGGGCAAGTGCTGTTAGCGAGTAGCGGCAGCACCTATGAAGGAGACAAAGACAAAGATCCCCCGTGTAGCCTCTAACAGACTGCTGGGGCAAGTGCTGTTAGCGAGTAGCGGCAGCACCTATGAAGGAGACAAAGATCCCCCGTGTAGCCTCTAACAGACTGCTGGGGCAAGTGCTGTTAGCGAGTAGGAGCAGCGACTATGAAGGAGACAAAGACAAAGACGCCCCGTGTAGACTCTAACAGACTGCTGGGGCAAGTGCTGTTAGCGAGCAGCACCTATGAAGGCCGGCACCGTGGCACACGCGGGGGGGGGTGGGCGGGGGGGTCGGTGGCGCAGCATCACCAACGACCGGCCGCCTTTGTCTCCCCCGTGGCTGATGTTTAATGCATCGCACCAGGTACTCATTTGAGGCTGAGTCGACCCAGGGGAGGCTCTGCACCGGTTCAGAGAATCGTCACTGGCGGGACAGACCCAGGTGGTGCCATGGGTTGACCGACTGAGATGACTGGCAGATGACTGGGATGCCACGGTGGCTAGGAGATGTTGACTACCTCGCCTGGTGTACAGGAGGTCGTGGGTTTGATCCCGACCCTGATGACGCCTGCTGCTGCTGTATATTTGAAGTCTGCGTGTCTCTCTCATCATCATCATCATCACGGTGGCCAGGAGATGTTGACTACCTCGCCTGGTGCACAGGAGGTCGTGGGTTCGATCCCGACCCTGACGACGCCTGCTGCTGTATATTTGGAGTCTGCGTGTTTCTCTCATCATCATCACGATGGCTAGGAGATGTTCACTACCTCGCCTCGTGTACATGAGGTCGTGGGTTTGATCCCGACCCTGACGACGCCTGCTGATGTATATTTGGAGTTTGCGTGTCTCTCTCATCATCATCACGGTGGCCAGGAGATGTTGACTACCTCGCCTGGTGTACATGAGGTCGTGGGTTTGATCCCGACCCTGACGACGCCTGCTGGTGCTGCTGTATATTTCGAGTTTGCGTGTCTCTCTTTCTCTCACTGTGGTCGCGTGGATTTTTCTTCAGGATCTTCATTTGTTCTTCCTTCCACATTTTAAAATCAACGTCACGCATTTAGCGTTTTTGGCTGCTATAAAATGTCCACGTGATGATGACGACGATGACGGTAAGCCCACCTCGTTGAGCTATCGTTTGTGATAGCCAGGTCGCTGCTGAACAAAAAAAATGCTTTCTGTATAGCAGCTCAGCGGGGCCTTATCTGGTTTAATAAAAAACAGAAGAAGAAGATGATGCCCTTTCTCAGTGTTTCTTGATTTTAACTGCAGCTTTGTACCCCTTTGGTTCTCGATCTTTAAACACATTCTAATATCGTGAGACGAAGTTAGTTGTAACTTAAGTTGCCCGTGCTTTCGATTATTTACATTCTAGAGAGAGGGGGGAAAAATCTGACCACGTCTCGCCACCCCCCCCCCCCCCAGCTAAACAACAAGCGCCACTCTCCACTATTCACGTACAATGCGCTCCCTTACAATGCGCGTGACGTCACGAGCCCCCCCGCCACCACGCCCCCGCCCCCTAGGGACACGTGTAGCACAGAACAATCGAGCAGGGAGAGCCAAGTGTGAGTCACATTCCCACGTTTCACCCGCGCGTGCGATGGGGAGGGAGGGGTGTCAAGGTCGCGTAAGAGGCTCGTGAAAGGACGCTACTACCTGGGCAGTGCCAGGCTAGGTGCACCTTGAGGCTACTGGTCAGTTGGAGGCAGTTCCACCCCCCCCCCCGCCTCCAATCTCCATCAGCAGAGGAGCGACTGCTCACAACAACGAGTGGAGCGCCGGGCGGATCAAACGCGACAAGTTGGCACAGTAGGGAGTACAGGTGGTGCATCTGCCAGCCATCTCGGTCAGTCAACCCATGGCACCTGCTGGGTCTGTCCCGTGACCTCATCCTGCACCCAGCCTGGCACAGCAGCACAAACCATGGCACCTGGGGCTGTCCCGTGACCTCCTGCCAGCAACGAGCCATCGACACTTCATGTGGCCCCGACAGTCTGTTAGAGGCTACACGGGGGATCTTTGTCTTTGTCTCCATCGTAGGTGCCGCCGCTACTCGCTAACAGCACTTGCCCCAGCAGTCTGTTAGAGGCTACACGGGGGATCTTTGTCTTTGTCTCCTTCGTAGGTGCTGCTGCTACTCGCTAACAGCACTTACCCCAAGCAGCCTGTTAGAGGCTACACGGGGGATCTTTGCCTTTATCTCCTTCATAGGTGCTGTTGCTACTCGCTACTAACAGCACTTGCCCCGACAGTTTGTTAGAGGCTACACGGGGGATCTTTGTCTTTGTTGGGGAGGGGGGGCGGCTATGAGGATTAGAGGTGGGGGCAGGAGGGGTGGTAGGGACGGTGGTGGCGTGGAGGTGAGGATGGCATGACGACATTGATGATGATGATGTTGGTAATAATGATGACCTCCTGTATACCAAGCGAGTTAGTTAACATCTCCTAGCTACCGTGATGATGAGAGAGAGAGAGAGGGAGACACGCAGACTCCAAATATACAGCAGCAGCAGCAGGCGTCGTCAGGGTCGGGATCGAACCCACGACCTCCTGCACACCAGGCGAGGTAGTCAACATCTCCTAGCCACCGTGGCGCCCCTACACAAGTGCGGCCCTCCTCTCCCGTTGTTAGCGAGCAGTGCCCCCAGTGCTCTGGGCTGCGAGGGTATCAGCCTCTGGATGGCAGTACAGAAATCTGATAATTAAATCCATCTGTGCGGCGGTTTGAGTGTCGCGCCTTTGGGGGGAGGGGTGGTTGGGGGGGGGGTTCTCCTTCCGGGCCCCCCACCACCCCCTGGATCTCTGTTCGTACCAGCAAAGATCGATTACGATCTGTGGAGGTGGTGGTGATGGTGGTGGTGGTGGGGTAAAATGTGGGTACTCCCAGCGGGCGTCGTAACGACATTGTAAGCTGGGGGGGGGGGGCGGGGGGGGGGTAGGTGCGGTTTGTACGACAATTGGTGAGAGCTATCTTTTGTGAAGAAGAGCGACTATATAGCAGCTCAGCGTGGCCTTGGCTGGCAACATAGAAGTAGTTTATGGAGTATTTGGCTGCTGATGTAAATGTCCACGCGATGATGATGATGATGATAAGCCACTTTCGTTGAGCTATCATTTGTGATGGCCAGGAACGCCTCTGGAGAAGCGATACTATATACCAGCTCAGCGGGGCCTTACACCTGGTTAAATAAAAAAATAGCTTAATTTTTTTACCGTTTAATTTTATTATTGGATGCTAAAAAATGTTTTAATTTAGCTTAAAATTTGTACCGTTTAGTTTTATTATTGGATGCTTCGGTGGGGAGATGTTAACTACTTAGACCCGTGGTTATTAACCTTTTCGTTCAGCCTGCATGCCATTTGGTTCTCATTCGTTAACAATAACAAAATGTAACAATGTTAATAACTACTTCGGGGTTGATGAACCAAAGTAAAGTTGAATCTTGACTTAAAGCTTTCGTGACTGCAGGAATTCATATTCTTTGGGTCTTTCGCTAAAGTCACGTAGAAAGGTTCAAAGAAAATAACAAAAAATAGCAAAACAATTGACAAAAATGAAAAATGTATTATTTTCGTTGAACCTATCTACGTGACTTCACCGAAAGACCCAAGGAATAGAAAGTAAAGTTGTAACTCACCTTGCCCGTGCTGAATTTGTGTTGTCGATAAAAAAAATTATGTTTTCACCTTCTTACAAAACAATCTGCCCGTGTCTCGCACGCGCGCCCCCAAGAAAGGGAATCTCGCACCCCCCGAAGCACTGCTCGAGATCATAAGCCGCCAACCTCGTTGAGCTACATCTGTGGCCACGTGGCCTCTGAAAAAGAGTCACGTGGCCTCTGAAAAACAGTCACGTGGCCTCTGAAAAAGAGTCACGTGGCCTCTGAAAAAGAGTCACGAGGCCTCTGAAAAAGAGTCACGTGGCTCATTGGAGCCTTACCAGGTTTAAAATATTAAATCGTTTTCGTTTTTTTGAGTTTTACTCTCGGGGGGGGGGGGGGGGGGGTCTCGTGGCGGCTGTTTCCATTGGAGGCTCCTTCAGCCAGCAGTGAAGTGAGCAAAGCAGTTGCAGGGCTGCGCCTTCGTCTTTGAACGTGTTTTCGGTGGTTGTTGTTGTTATGAAACGCGGCGTGGATTCCCATGGGAACTTCTGGGCCCATTGTCTCGTGAGGGCGAGGGGTATTATGGGTAGGAAATGTGTGGGGGGGGGGGTCGGTTTATGTGTGTGTGGGGGGGTGGGTTGATGTGTGTGGGTGTGTGCCTTTCGCGGTGTGTAAACTACGCCACGAGGGAGACAAAGGCGGCCGGGCGTGCGTGGTGCTGGCACACCCACAACCCCTTCGCGTGCCGTGCGTGCAGGCCATCGTAGGTGCTCGCTAACAGCACTTGCCCCGACAGTCCGTTAGAGGCTACACGGGGGATCTTTATCTTTGTCTCCTTCATAGGCGCTGCTGCTACTCGCTAACAGCACTTTCCCCGACAGTCTGTTAGAGGCTACACGGGGGATCTTTGTCTTTGTCTCCTTCATAGGTGCTGCTACTACTCGCTAACAGCACTTGCCCCGACAGTCTGTTAGAGGCTACACGGGGGATCTTTGTCTTTGTCTCCTTCATAGGTGCTGCTACTACACGCTGACAGCACTTGCCCCGACAGTCTGTTAGAGGCTACACGGGGGATCTTTGTCTTTGTCTCCTTCATAGGCGCTGCTGCTACACGCTAACAGCACTTGCCCCAACAGTTTGTTAAGGATATACGGGGTGGATCTTTGTGTTTGTGTTGGGAGCGGTGGCGCAGTGGTTAGCACTGCACTACCGCTATCAACACGGCAGTGAATCGAGTTCGATTCTCACTCACGATGACCCAATATCAGTGGCGAATAATTAAACCGGTCGTGGGTCTCCCTTAGGTCAACTCAGC